AGCTAAATGGTGGAGGAGGTCTGATGACGTATGGAAATGACTGAATGAAGACAAAGACAGCTGATAGTTATCAGAGATGGAGTGTGGCAGGGACTCAGAGAGGGCGTGGTCTTCTTTCTGGGGGTGGGAGGATCAGAGAACTTGTATGGAGGAGTCAACATTTGAATTGAGCCTTGAGAGAGGAGGGTATCTGGGGAACACAGAAGAGGGAAATGGGAGGTGGGCACTCCAGGCTGACCTGACAACACGAGTGAAAGCACAGGGGCGAGAAATCTTGAATCCCAGAGCTGGGAATTTATAAATTCATAAATGATGACCTATGGGTGACACTTTCCAAGGAAGGAATCACACACCAAGGGCGGATGGTGAGAACCAGTCAAGTATGAGGGATCTCACGGTGCTGTCACCTTCACGGCCTTTTTTTGATGCCCAGAACAAATCTGTGAAGGACGGAACCTGGGTGTCCCCATTTCATAGACGAGGAGCAGAGTCAAAAGGCAGAGACCTGCCCAAGCCTTCAAAACTAGCGAGTGGCTAAGCAAGGAAAGAAGGCAGGTTTCCGGAGGTCCAATCCCCTCCTTTGTCTATTGCCCACCCTGAGAAGTTGGTGCCTATGACAGTTGTATTTGGTTTCTGCTAAATTGTCCAGCTTCACAGGATTGTGTTCACAAAAATACACAAATACACAAAAAATACACAAATACACAAAAATACAAAATACACAAATGCACAAAAATACTAATTATTATAGCTAACCTCTCCCTAAGGAAACACTCATTGAGGGGAAAATGAGAAATCAACCTGGGCACGTCTAATGGCTTTGAGTTTCGTTGCTTTCTTATTTCTTGTGTTCTTTTATTTTGAAAATTAATGTCGATTGGATTTTAGAAAACTGTTCCCCACAGAATATTTTATTGTTAAAAATAAGAATAAGAATAACACCCCCACTAAAGGAAGCCGTGGTGTCAAGCTGTCTTCCATTTTGGGCGGATTTTCCTTTTGTTTAGCCTGTAATTACCGCAGGACTGCTGTCCTGGACTCCTCCCGGCCAGGGCTGATGTGTCTCTGAAAGCACGTCGCTTCCACGTCTGAACTCTTCCGTCCTCTCAAGTTTACCTCAAGCATCACGACGAAACCTCTCCATCAGTCACTTCCTGACAGATCAGCACGGATTTAATCCCAATCAGAGTATCTGAGAGCCAGCAAGATGGGGCCGTCAGGAGGCCCACGCTGGCTGGTCTGAAGCCTTTGACCAAGTAAACACAGTCTCAAAGGGCTGGGGAGCTTGAAAGTAAAACTGTAAATGATCCCATCTGTGATTCTTGGCTGGCGATTCCTCTGGGGTGGACCAAAGAGGGGGAAAGCCGAAGAGAGGGTCTCTCTTTGCTTTAAACAAAATATAGTTACCCTTCTAGCATCTTCCTTGTTTGGGGTATTTTCCAAGTGAAAGTTCATTAGGGAGACACGAAAGCACGTCTTACTAATGTCCATCAAAGAGACGGGCTCAGTTTCAAAGCACAGAAGAAATACGATAGTGTTGAAGCAAACTACATGAAAAAGATCTTATGGCCCCAAGAAGCGAGAAAGAAACAGGGACCAGTGACTTGGATTTTTTTTTTTTTAATCCAATCTTTATTTGGGACAAAATAAGTGAGTCCCAGGAAAATGAGTATCTCCTGGGCTTTCTCTTATTTACATCGGGCAGGCTGAACTAAACATTCTGGAATGTTTGTAAATGTTTGGGTTTCCTATTCCATATTTTCTCCTGTTGGCACCACAGCTGAAGGGTTCAGAATTTCTCAAACAAGGTTCTTACCCACAGTGATGACTATTATTAACATGTATTGATCTAGAGGATATACAGAAACAGGATTAAGTGCAGATCCGGAGCCCAGGGATTAGGTCTGGCTGGAGAGCAGAATGTAAACAGGGGATGTCTGAGTGGTGGGAGGCAGGGGGGCTCATTAGAGGTCTGGGCCAAGGCACAGGGTGGCTTTGTGTCTGTCCTCAAGCCAGGGAGGGGGCCTGGATGCTGGCGAGCCTGAGGGCCAGAACGTCACTTCCTGGGGCTCCACAGGGGTACTAGGCAGGTTCCCAGGGTGACATGCCCCTCTGCAAGGAGCACTCGGGCCAGGTAGAGGGAGGCTCTCTCTTCTGTTGAGTGTTTTGCTGAGGAAATCCCAGCTGGTCTCAGGCATGCTCCCTGGGGGAGCAGTTCTCCTCCATGTCAGAAGGGTTCGTCTCCCTTGGCTGCCCGTGGAAAGAGCGGCTGTTTTCCACGCTTCATTCCTCATGCGTTGTGAACCCCCCAAAATACCTCTTTGAAAACAAGGCCCTGGGTGAACATCAAGGTCCCCAGGAGAAAATCCACCATAAGAATTCAGGCTGCCATAAAAGAGGATGAAATTTTGCCATGTACAGCAACACTATGCTAAGTGACATAAGTCAGACAGAGAAAGACAAATACTGTATGATATCACTTATATGTGGAATCTAAAAAATACAACAACTAGTGAATATGACAGAAAAGAAGCAGACTCACAGATATAGAGAACAAACTAGCGATTACCAGTGGGGAGAGGGAAGCAGGGAGGGGTAACATAAGGGTGTGGAATGGGAGGCACAAACTACTGGGTGTAAGATAGACTCAAGGACGTATTGTACAATGCGGGGAATATAGCCAATATTTTATAATAACTCTAAATGGAGTGTAACCTTTAAAAACTGTGAAGCGTTCACTATATTGTACATCCATAACTTGTATAACATTGTACATCACCTACACTTAAATTTTAAAAATTAAAAAAAAATTCAGGCTGCAACCCTGCACCACAAGAATCCACTGAACCTGGGTTCCCAACAGTGAGATGGAGACTGCCATCGGGATGGACCCTCTCACTCTGCTCACGAGGCCCACCTGGAGACGAATCTAGTCCATCTGGTGTTCTCAGGTTCATAGGTTCATGGGGGAACATCTTCTGGAGCAGAGGTTCTCAATCTCAGCACTATAGTTGTTCTTATCAGTGGTGGAGACACAGGGAAAGCAGAGCTAGCCCTGGCACTAAGCATAGTGGTTATCTTCACAGGCGTTGGAATCTAAGATATGGGATCAAACCCAGCTTAAGTTGCTCAGTTTTCTTATCTGTAAAATGGGGAGAATATCACCTACGTGAGAGAATACCTGTGAAGAATAAATGTGGTACATATGTAGGTGGTTGCCTAGCCCAGTGTCTGGCACATAGTAAGTGCCAAGTAAATGGTGGGTTTACTGTTTCCTGTTGTGGGCTTCCCAGACAAGTGTGTGGATGGGGACGTTAGCATTTAGGAAGCATCACTCTATGTTACACATCCTACGATTGCTTTCGTGGGTGTAGGTAGAATAGACCCTTCCCTCCTCAGTTGTGGTAGCAGCTGTTGACTTAAGGTGACAGTGATGCCTGGTGCCAGAAGCTGAGGGTGGAAGAAATGAATGTCACTTGTCCTTCTTAGATCTAAAGCAAAAAGTCTGATACGTGCTTTCTTCATTTGTTCTCAACTGATGGTAAGCTTTTGTAGCTGCAGTTACAGTGTAAAGTCTTTGAAGAGAAAAGACTTATTTTCTCTTATGCTCAGGCGTTGGATCTTTCCGAGTTGCATATCCAGGTTTGGTTCTTGGCATCCAAGCTGACCCTATCCTTCTACTCCCAACCACCAACACTTCCTCACAAACCTCATCACTCAGAATACAGGCTCCCAAAGCCTGGGCAAGAAATCCTGAATTATCCGTTGAGCAACTCAGGTTAAGGGGGAATTGGTAGAAAAAGTGAGTCAAACAGAGATGAAGACACAGGGAGAGAACCATTCTTTGATCCATTCAAGCACTATTTGTGAAGTACCTGCCTGCCAGCCACTGTGCTCGGTGCTGAGATTACAGAGACGATCAAAACTCAGCCGCTGACCTCAAAAACATAATGGCCACTTCTTGTCCTTGGAGCAGGTTAAGATGTGTAAACATTCAGCAGGTTGCAAACTTTGGACAGTTCTTGATGAATGTTATTCCTCAATAGAAATTTGCTGTTGTCGTTTTTAAGAATAGTGCAGACAAAGACACAAAACCAGATCATTTTAAGTGTGAGATGCGGATGTGCCCAGGGCATTGTGGGAGAACAAAAAGAAGGTAGGATGTGTTCTATAGTCCTGGAGGGGCAAGTGTCGTTCCTGACAGAGGTTCCAGTGTAAGTGAAGTTGTGGAGGAGAGAAACCATGTGGTATGGGCAGGAAACTCTGAAGAGCCCCATGTTCGTGGCGCATAAATCGTGAGGCAGGAAACAATGAGCCTTGAGATGGGAGAGGGAGGTGAGGACATTGCCTATGAGGTGGACTTTTTCTTGTGGGCCGTGGGGAGTCCTGGGCAGGTTCCTGTCAAAGAGGGAAGTGGTCAGATCTGCATCTTAGACAGCAGTGTGGAGGTGGACTCAAGATAAGGGGCAGGGAGGACAGTTTTGTGGCCATTGTCATTTTCCAGATGAGAGATGGGTAAGAGTTCGAACTAAGGTACAAGCTTTCACACATAGTGTAGTCACACACACACACACACACACACACACACACAATTTTCCAACTGAAGATTTTCGTGTATTCTGCAGAAAAGCCCACTTGAGCTTGGTAGACAAAAAGGTGGAATTGTGCAACAGGAACTCATGTCTCTCTTAAACACTCTTTTTTAGTACCAGCAGATTTCGAGCGTGAGTTCAATGCTCCTATGTCAGCTCTAAGCAGCACGTATTTCATGTCCTTTGCATTTTTTGTTTTTGGAGACATTTGTGAGGAAGTAATTCTTCCTTATTCTTTTGGGTGTTTATTTGCTGCTTGTCTCTTGTCTGAACTATTTTCTGTTATCTACTTTCCTGGTGAGGCTCTAGTCTGGGGAGTGAACACCCTGTATTAGCTCACATTTTCCACATTTAGTTCTTCACTTCTTTCCTCATATTGTCCAGAAGAAACTCTCAAGCAGCAAAATTGATGAAAAGATTTTGTCTCCTCTCCATAGCCTCTCCCCACCCCCTGCATGGACTGATGTGTTTCCTCATGTCCTGTTCCTTTAAAATAGTAGACTGAAAGGTCTGCTCATTCATTCCAGAACAGTGGCTCAGAGAGGCGCTGCTGGTGACCTGGACTCCGATGGGAATGGTAAGCTTGGGGCTGTGGACTCAGAATAGTCTCTGACGGCTGCATACCAGCTGGAGGAGGGGAGGGACGTGGCGACCAATACACCCTGTCTATCCAAACTCTCCTGCTTCAAAGGAACGTTGATTTCATTGTTCCCTAAAGAGGATGAGTAAATAACGGGATATTGTCAGGAGCCAGGGTGTTTCCTGCTGGAGACTAGGGTGCTGCCAAGTGTCAGAAGACTTGGGACCTAGGTCTGTATGAGCCACTCGTGAGAAGTGTGGGTTCGGACGAGTTACTTCACCTCCCGAAGACCCATTTTCACTTTATAGACAATACAAGAGATAATAGAATCTGTCGTTTTGCCCTTACAGGTTGTGTGATGTTGGGTGTAGAAACATTTTGGATACTGAGAAATGCATTTTGGAAATAACAGTCTAGTATGAGAACTTTCTCTTGAACATTAAACAAAGCACCACTGAAACAGCTTTGATTCTAATAAAACGGTTTGAAGAAACACAGAGAAAGTATGCAAAATGCACCTTCAGTTGGGCAGGAGTATGTAATAATGTCTTGATAATCCATTACAGGAAGACCCATGACAGATGCTTGCTGGCTTTCTTTTGCCTTGCAGCCTACTTCTCTCTGTCTCTCTCTTTTCCTTTTCAGGGTTTTACAAAACTGATTTCCACGCCAGCCAAGGCAGGCACCCACTGGAAAGTGGAAGCTGGGATTTAACACTATGAGAAGGAGGGCACTGGCCTCAGACCCACCACCTAGGTTTGGATCTCAACTCTTCCCTTCACTCCCTAAGGGTACCTGGGTAGGTTTCTTTGCCTGTCTTGACCTGAGTCTCTTATGCATAGGTTGGTTAGGATTTTATTAAGGTCCTTTCCAGCGCATGGATTCTGTATTGTCCCAGCATTGAGTCAATAATACCTTCCAGGGGCTGAAGAGCCTGGAGTTGCTGAGTGACTGAGTCGTCACTGGTGCAGGATCTCCTGTCCACTCAGGGCAATTATCAGGAGTTGACACTGCTGTGCTAAGGCCCTGGTTTTGTCTCCTCACAGTGGCATAGGGCTTGGACACACCACAGCTTGCCCAGGATGCAGGAACGTGCGTGGTGCAGACAGATACCGTATTTTCCTTCAGTCCTGATTCTGGGAAAGCAGCAAGAGGAGAGGTTGGGGAAGGGAGTGGTCACGCTACACAGGCACCCAAGGCGAGGGGAGTGGGAAGAGGGTGACTTGTACAGTAGCAGGCCACCGCTGAGACCTGCCAAGGGATGAGTATTACTCAGAGGGTGCGTCCAGTTCCCATTTTACAGCAGAAGTAAACTCTCCAGACCCTGTTGTAGTTGGCTAATGGTGATCCCCAAACCACAGGCTCCAGAGATATGAGCCAGCGTTCCAGGAAAAGCCACCCACGGGAGAAGGGAGGACAGAGGGACAGAGGCTGGAGCGAGGGCCTGCGTGTTTGGGGCTGATTGCTTCAAATGGAGGGTGATTGCGCCTTCCAGCTCAGGGTTCATTGGTCAGACCTCCAGCGCAATCCAGTCCACATCCACGGAGGCCTGCATGGCAGAGAGTTAAGTCTGCCCTCCCCAAAGTCAACATCCAGTGAACCAACAGAGTCATGGGGTCACTGGGAAGTTCTTCACTCTGGTTCTTTTTTTTTTTTTTTTAAGCTTAGAAAGACCAGCTCACCACTTAGGAGGCCTTGTGTGGATGGTTCTCCAAACCCCTGGTCAGATGGCTGTCTTTCAACTAAAACACAGGGTTAGTTGAATTTTCTTCCAAATCTCATTTCAAACAATTACCTTGGCATGTTATCTGTAATATCTCCTTTGGAAGGTTATTCCACATTAAAAAAAAAATCATCATATCCTGTGAATGAGTGGATTGAGAAGTAAAACCTCAAGTCAGTGAAGATGTACGAAGACATGAGTGACTCCTGAACTACCTTTGACTGTGGCTCTCAGCAGCAGCAAAGGAAGACCCTAGAAAGATGCAAGTCTGGACCCCTGCAAAATTTGAGCGGTCTTCCTTGAAAAGTCAGTTGTTTAATCCCTTGCCTTCAGGTCAGATCATACTTGAATCATCAGACCCTGTGGTCCTTCAACACACACACACACACACACACACACACACAGAAAATACACATTTGTATGCAATATTGCACACCCCCTCCCCCAAACTCTCAGCAATTAGGAGTTGAATTCCCCAGTCTGCTGAGCTGGACTTAGAGACCTAGCAAAAGGGACTCTTGAGAAGAAAAAAGGAATTCCACACTGGTGAGGTTAGGGCTGCCGTCCTTAAAAGCGAAGGGGTTTCACCCTTAAAAGCGAAGGGGTTTCACGGAGCCTGACTGCTTTAGAAAGGGACAGGTCCTGATGCTCCCAGAGGGGAATTGGGTGAAATGCTGGGGAAGGGGTCCAGGAGCCTTGAAGATCAGAGCCGGCGCTGGGACTGGGTGGCCCGGTGGGGTTCACCTTCTGAGCATCCCCACCTGCCCTCTCACTCCCACCGCCCAGGGCCCTACAGTTGCTCTATTCTTCACCCATCTCTGAAAACCTTCCATCTCTGATGCTACTTCAAAGCCCCCTGGGAAAGCCAAGTTGCCAATTAAGCCTCTTTGAGGCAGGTTCTCATTCCTTCCCCCACTAATTGAAATGTTACTCCTTTTACTAAACTCCTAAACCACCCAAACACAACGGGTCCTCCTCATTTGCATTGTAACAACGTCCCTAATGTGCTTCCAAGAGCTTTCCGTAAAGGGGACCTTCTCTCCTCTCCTGAACGGTCAAAAGCAATTCGAGGCAAAGGCCTTCATTTCCATCCCTATACAGCTGCTCATTAGCTAAGGTGGAAGAAATTCCTTTTATTCTGGATTCATTTCCCAGGATGATAATGTCTTTTTTGTCTCAGGCCACTGTTCCCAAACTAGCCCTTAATTGCTGATAGTAATTGAGTTAATACATATTTACAGCCTGGTAAGGTTAAAGAAGGTCTCCTGTAGTTTTATTTGAGGCATTTTATCTAACCTGCAATAAAATCATTAACAAGTTGTTTGGTGTTAATTCTCTATCCTTTATCTTGTCTCTGCCCCTTGGGAAAGTCGGGTGAAGGCAGATGGCTTTGGCGTGGGGATCGATTCTCAGGCTGGGTGGACCAGAGAGCCCCAAACCTCACCTCAAAAGTCACCTCCAGGTCCTCTATTCAGAGAGGAGGGCCTCTCCTCGGTGGAAGCAGATAGCCTGGGGCAACACTGTGTAGCTCTCCCAGGCACCCAGCCAAGCAGCGCAGGCAGGGTGATGAAATCCCATCAAAGCCACAGGGCTGGGCCAGGCTCCTGAATTAGCTCCCACCAGTAACTCGAGCCCCAAGTGGCCCACAGGCTGGGCACCGAACCAAGGTGTCAGGCCATGCGACCGTCTGGCCACTGGAGCCCGCCCAGAAAGAGGGGCTGAAAACAGAGCAGGAGGAGGGGCCAAGGGCCAAGGGCAATGCCAGGGGAAGCCAGGGGTTTTCCAAACTTTACCCTGGGAGGCCCGGATGGCTGCCTGTGAAAAATCGTTCTTGTCACATCCCTTCTCTCTCCTTCTCAAAAGCAGCGGGAGTGATGTGGAGGCCCCCTTCCCCGTGGGATTCCAGGCCTCTTCATCCCATCAGAGGGAAATTGGCTTACCAACAATGAAGCTGTCTTGAGTCAACAGCATGTCTGACTACCCCCAGAGTACTGCTCCCGGTTGCCTGACACTTCCTTTCTCTCCCCCTTGCTTTGCTTGGGATTCTGCCTTCTTTTCCTGCTGACCCATCCCTGAGGAGTGGACCAGGTTGTGTGGCAGAGGCTGGCATCCCCGAGAATCCATGTTGCTGTATATTTCCCAGCCACACATCTACATTTTCCAGCTCCCCTTGCAGCAGACACGGTGTGGGGAAGGGGGGAGTGACAAGCGCCAGCTCTGAGCTCTTTGCCCTGTCTGGCTGCCTGGAGTGAAGATGACCCTCTGGGCAACTTCTGAAGCCAAATGTTAAAAATGGCAGAGCCTCAGTCAGCTCAAAAACTTAAATGATAGGTGGAGGGTAGCGGCTCCTCCCATCCTGTGTATGAGCTTGAAATCAGTGTCCATGGGGTGTAAACCACTGTATGCTTTGGGGACTCTTGGTTATAGCAGGGAATTTGCTATACAGTCTGAGACTCTTCATATAACACTAGGAACTGTGGGAGTTGTTGCCTTTGCCTAGAATGTTCATCCACCAGTGCCTCTCCCGTGCATCCCTTAAGACTCAGCTCAAATTCCAGCCCCTCCGTGGAGCATTTCTGTGGGCAGAGGACCCACAGAAGTAGCTTTATCTGGTGATTCATCCATGGGCTGCAGCAGAAGCCACCTTTGCCTACCTACACGGCCCACTGAGTGAGATTTAGAAACTCAGCCCAATGGCCAAAAGCCTCCAAACCAAAGGTAGCTCCCTCTGAAACTCTGATTTCATAATTCTTTTTTTTTTTTTGCGATACGCGGGCCTCTCACTGTTGTGGCCTCTCCCGTTGCGGAGCACAGGCTCTGGACGCGCAGGCTCAGCGACCATGGCTCACGAGCCCAGCTGCTCCGTGGCATGTGGGATCTTCCCGGACCGGGGCACGAACCCGTGTCTCCTGCATCGGCAGGCGGACTCTCAACCACTGCACCACCAGGGAAGCCCTGATTTCATGATTCTTTGTTTCTGAAATCAGGCTCAAGAGCCTTGGAGGAGGGGAATAAGTACTAAGCTGATTTCTTGGGTGATTCAGCAACCTGGCGATAGATGGGCCCTTAGAAAAGGCCCTGCCTTTTTCCTTACAGATGAAGAGGCTGGGGCCCAAAGTGGAAAGGCAGAATCAGCACCCAGGCCTCCTGACTCTCAGCCCGGTGCTCCTTAATTGTCCTATTTAAGCAAGGCAGGTGACACGCTGTTGTCAAGTCTCCCATTGCATCCCCTGGTCCAGGCTCAGAATTATTTGTTCTTTTCAGTTCTCCAAGTTGTGCTTCAGCCCGCTCTGTTTCAGTGTTCTCAAATACTGCCCCATGCCGCCTTCCTTCAGTCTGAGCACTTCATGTCAAAGTTCTTAGTGCTGATTTCCAGCCAAGGCATGTTGGGAAGCTCCAACATTTCCAAGGTTAACTGTTCAATAGCCTATGGACAGATATAGCCCACTCATGGAACATAGACCCATTCCTTTGCTCTATAGCGAGGGGTTGGGCCAGGCAGGAAACGTGGCATCACTAAACTATTCCCTGTTTCTCTGTCTTGTCCTTCTCTTCGTGGGAGGAAGAGTCCTTGAGGAGGAATTCCGTCCCCATTTTACAGAGAAAGGAATGAGAACTGAGGCTTAGAGAGGTTTGGTATTAGCTCAAGACTCTACAAGTTGTGATGCCTTTCTTCTGATACCCCCTGCAGAGTCCTCTGTCAGAGTGAGAAGTTTATCTTTTTCGCTTTCTAAGCCACAAAAGAAACACTACGGTATGGTTTGGGGGTATATTTTGGAATTTTAAACTCAATCGACCACAATTTCTCTTATGATTTCCCAAAAGCAGAGACTTATTTTGCAGTATTCATTTCTTAGAGTCTAAGAGACCTATTGGTCAAAATTTGACATCTGACCTAACATAGGGGTTGATGTCGTTTTCCACAAGGCAGTCCCATCCTGTCAGCATTTTTTCTGATTGTTGGAGCTGGTTCAAAACCCACACTTCTGCCCTCACATCCTTCCTTTCAGGAAGCGGCAGGAGAATCAGAGTCCTGGATGCTTGGCTCAGGGGGGGTCCTTAAGGTTATAGAGGTCAATCTTCTCGTATTTTTGGGGGGACCATAGGCCTATAGCGAGCTGGTGGCAGGGCTGGCCTGGTGTCCTGACTCTTCAGCACAAAGTGCTTTATGGACAACATGTGATAGTGAACCCAGATTGGGTAGTGTCTCCGTAAAGTAAAGAAGGAACATCATTTTCTTTCAATTCTATAGCCTGGAGCAAGGAGGAGTCCATTTTCCTTTGGGAAATACGTTCCGTACCATCCTGTCTATAATTCATGGATGAAATGGTCACCTTTTGGGATTGCTGATGCCTGTTTTCCTCTGGGATGGCTCCCTGCATCTTTCTGATTCATGGCTCTGCTCTGTCAGCAGTTCTTTTTTAGCTTAGTGACTGTGCATGTGGGGAGCAGGGAGGTAGTGGTATGGGTAGGGTGACAGTCACTCAGACACCGCAGCTGCAGGAGGGAAAGGGAGTGTTTGACAAGGTTAGAGTTGGGGGTGCCCACCAACGGCCATTCCTAAGCATATTTATTGTATGCTTAGTATAATGAAGGAAGATTGCTTCGTATATGCATACCTGATCATTCCCTTGGTGCTTTTTCCATTTGGTATATTTTTAAATTCCTTAACAAAAACCTTTGGAAAGCAGAGACCTGGAGAGGAAGAGCTAACGTGTTGCGGAGTCTACAGTACTCTAGGAAAAGTGCTTCTTTCTTTTTTTTTAAAATTTTATTTATTTATTTATTTTTTATACTGCAGGTTCTTATCAGTTATCTATTTTATACATATTAATGTATATATGTCAATCCCAATCTCCCAATTCATCCCACCACCACCCCCCGCTTTTCCCCCTTGGTGTCCATACGTTTGTTCTCTATGTCTGTGTCTCTATTTCTGCCTTGCAAACCGGTTCATCTGTACCATTTTTCTAGGTTCCACATATATGCGTTAATATACGATATTTGTTTTTCTCTTTCTGACTTACTTCACTCTGTATGACAGTCTCTAGGTCCATCCATGTCTCTACAGATGACCCAATTTTGTTCCTTTTTATGGCTGAGTAATAGTCCATTGTATATATGTACCACATCTTCTTTATCCATTCGTCTATCGACGGGCATTTAGGTTGCTTCCATGACCTGGCTATTGTAAATAGTGCTGCAGTGAACATTGGGGTGCATGTGCCTTTTTGAATTATGTTTAGGAAGACTGTTTCTTATGTTCACATATATATGAGGAAACTCTTTCCATCGCCAACAATATCATGAGACAAGTAATCGTATTTTAATTGTCATGGTGAGGACATCTGTGCTCAGAGCAGTGACTTTCCTAGAGCTCACAGCTAGTAAGTGGCAGAGGTAGGATTTGAATTCAGATCCTAGGAGTCAAAGCCACAATTCTTTCCACAACATCAATCTGCCTCCCTCAGTACCTAGAACTGTTAGCAAAGAGGAACAAAAACCCAATTTGTAGCTTGAGAAAAATGAGTTTGTAAGTCTGAAAGGCAAGAAATACAATAGTTTCTAATCTCAAAATTGGGACTAAAGTTCCAAGCTGTGCTAACTGAAATGGTATTCTCCAAGATATATGGTCCCCCCTCAAGAGACCAGCCATCAGTTGGGAGCCATGCCTGATACTTGTGTCCCAATAGGTAATGGTTCAGAATGAGCCCGTGGGTGAGGGATAAGATTGGCTGGTCTAAAGGAGAGGACTGAAAGATCTGAGATGCTAGATCTGAGTCCAGACTGCGGTCCTGTCTGCCAGTCTGTTAAAATTGTCTTTGTCACGGGCCATGGATGTGTTTATACCATTTATCAGAACCTCTTGTGATCTGGCAATAAGGAAACCCAACTCAGTTGTAGACAAATATTTTGCAGTAATTTCATTTACTTAACAAGGGCGGGCTCTCTCCCCTTGGAGAATGAAGCTGGAGCCGGTGTAATCACTGGTCAGATCTTCTCCTCACAATGGTCTGAGTGGGAGCCTCTCCCCTCCGTGTTACCTCCCAAAGGAACAGGGGATAAACGCCCTTGTAAGACAGTTGGTCTCATTTTGTGGATGTGAATTCAATGTCTCACAGCTCCATTCTACTCATCCTAGCTCCGGCTTAAGTTTTAAAAACGAATTCTCTCTGCATTAATCTGAAAAGATCCTTCAAACAAAAGCTCAACATCTGAGTCTATTTACTGAGTGTGCAGCTGTGTCAATTGGCCAAGACAAAGCAAGGCTTCCTGGTCAGCCCACAATGGGCTGCAGGTAGTCCTGCAAACAGAGAAACACAAGGCACGGTCTTTTCAGGAGCCAGCAGCCCTCCTTCCAATAAGGGAAAAGCTGGAGCTCAGGGATCAAGAGAAAAGGAGTGCCACCCTTCCCCCACGTCACCACACACACAAGTGGGGACTGAAGGATACGATCTGTAAGCCCGTCAATTAGGGCTATTAAAAAGGTAATTAGCCTTCTTCCATGGAAACCAAGGACAGAGATGTGAAAAGGGGAAATTCATTTCCATATGGTTACATTTTTATGTGACCAGTACACTTTCTCAAGGAAGTGAGATAATATTGTTGAGAATATCACTTGGTCATTCATGATGGGAAGGTGATATCAAGTAAATTTAAGAGTTATCTAAGAATAAAAATAATAATTTTTTATTCCTGAAAAAAAATTTTTTTTCTGCTATTAGTCAAACACTAGATTCAAATCAAGTGGCCAGAGTTAGGAGGCCAGGGAGGAGTTGAGAGTTATTTCCTTTCTAGTTTCCTCTCCCGAAGAGAATCACCGCAGGAGATGAAATCTGAAAATGTCAACAATGAACAATTTGTCTTGGATTCTGATAAGTGTGAAATTCAGAATTAGTGTTTCTGTTCCCTCTCTTTTCAAACATGTGTGGGTATTTTGGTAATAAAGCCCAAGAGAGAAGAAAACGAATTGAGGAAAGCCCTTTCTCATAATGAGATTTGAAGATATCTATTGAAATGGATCTAAAGTATACAGTACTCTGCAACACTGGCCCAGCTCACAATGAACATAGGGCTTACACGTGTTTACTTTGTCTCTGTGTGTGTGCATGCTTTCAGGTAAAAGATAATTTAATTTTGTTTTGTTTTTCTCCACCATCTCTTTCCTTCTCTTTCACTTTCTCTTCCCACTTTATTGAAGTCAAATGTACCTGCAGGGAGATGCACAGAGCTTAAGCATCCAGTTGGATGTATCACATCTTGTTAATCCACACAACAATCAAGATATACAATATTTCCACCACTTCAGAAGTTTCCTGCTCCTGTATAGTCAATAACCACCCCCAGGTAATCACTGTTTTAATTTTTATTGCTACATATTCGTTTTGTCTGTTCTTGAATTCCATATAGATGATATCACATGGTATGAATTTTTTGTGTGTGACGTCTTTTGCTCAAAATAGTATTTTTGAGATTCACCTGTGATGTTGATGGAGTGTATCAGTTTATTCTCTTTCATGTATAAGTAGTATTCCATGGTATGATGACACCACAGGGGACCCATTCTTGTATTGATTGACATTTGGGTTGTTTCCAGTTTTAGGCTGTTATGAAATAAGCTACTGTAAACATTCTTGCACAAGATCTTTTTTAGGCATTTTTTTTTTTTTCTCTTGGGCCATTACCTAGGAGTGGAATTGCTGAATCATAGGTTAGGTGTATGTTTAATTTTATAGGAAACTAAGAAACTGACAGTTTTCTAAAGTGGTTGTACCATCTTATGCTTCCAGAAGCAATGTATAAAAGTTTCAGTAGTTCCATCTCCTTACAAACATTTGATGTTTTTTAGTCTTTTTAACAGTAACTGTTCTAATGGGTATGAAGTGGTAATCTCATTGTGGTTTTAATTTGCTTTTCTCTAAGGACTAGTGATGTCAAAAATCTTTTCATGAGATTATTATCATTTGCATTTCTTCTTTCTTGATGTTTCTATTTAATTATTTTGCCCATTATTTATTGGCTTTTCTCCTTATTCATTTGTAGGTATTCTTTATATATTCTGGATAAAAGTCTCTTCTAATATAGGGGTACAGCAAATATTTTCTCTTGGTCTATGACTTCCATTTTCCTTTTCTTAATGGCATCTTTTTGATGAGCAAAACCTTATTATTTTGAAGAAATCCAATTTTTCCATTTTTTTCTTTATGATTAGTGCTTTTGCTAGCCCATCTAAGAAATATTTGCCTAACTCAAAGCTGTGAAGACACTTCTCTATGCTTTCTTATAGCAGCTCTACAATTTTAGCTTTTGTGATTAACTCTACAATTCATCTCAAATTAGTTTTTTGTGTATGTTGTGAGGTAAGGGTTGAGGTTTATATTTTCCAAGCATTTATCCAGTAGTTCCAGAACCATGTGATGAAGACTTTCCTTTCTCCATTCAATTGTTCTGATGCCTTTTCATAGATCAACTGACTATATATGTGTGGCTCTATTTCTGAACTCTCTGTGTTTTTGTCTTTCTTTATGCCAGTGCTACTTTGCCTTGATTGTTATAGATTTTTAATACATCTTGAAGTCAGATATTGTGGGTTTTCTAATCTTCCTCTTCTTTTTAAAGATGATTTTGGCCACTCTAGTCCTTTGTATTTTTATATAAATTTTAGAATCAACTTGTCAATTTATTCAAAAATCATTGAGATTTTGACTGGGATTATGTTAAACCTGTAGATCAAATTGGGAAGAGGGAGAAAGGCTTAACATTGATCCTTTCAATTAATGAACATGGTATCTCTTTCTACTTATTTGTTTTCTTTTTCTTCAGTAATATTGTATACTTTTTAATATAGAGGTCTTGCATGTATTTATTTAAACCTATTCCTAAATGTTTCAAGTACTTTGATGCTATTGTAAATGGTAGTTTGAAAATTTTATCCTCTAATTGTTGTTAGTATGCAAAAGTAGAATTGATATTTGACCTTGTAGCTTGCTATACTGCTAAATTCCCTAATTAGTTCTACTAGTGGTTTTATACATCCTTTAGGATTTTTTACATACATATTCATGACATCTACAAATAAAAAGAATTTTACTTCTTTCTTTCCAGTGTTTATACTTTTTATTCCATGTTATTGCACTGGCCAGAAAAGAAGAGGTGAGAGCTGACATCCTTGCCATGTTCCTGATCTTAGAAAGTGTTCAGTAATCTACCATTAAGTAGGATGTTAATGTGGATTTCTCAGAGCTGTCCTTTATCAGACATTTTATTCCTAGCTTGCTGAGAGATTTTTAAAATCATAAATGGGTATTTAACTTTGTCAAATGCCTTTTCTTCATTTTTGAGATGATCATGTGGTATTTTTCTATGGTTCTGTTAATGTGGTGAATTAAATTGATTGCTCTTTGAATCTTAAATCGACCTTGCATTCCTGGGATAAGCCTCAGTTAGTCATAATGTGTTATCCTTTTATATATAATGCTGGATTTGATTTGACAATATCTGTTAAGCATTTTTGCACCTATATTTATGAAAGATATTGATCTGTAGTTTTTACTTTCTTGTAATATTTTTGTTAGTGTTGTGATGGTGTGATGGTTAGTTTTATGTGTTAACTCGGCTAGACTATAGTACCCAGTTATTTTATTTAAAATGAATCCAGGCGTTGCTATGAAGGTATTTTGTGGATGTGGCTAACATCTGCAATCAGTTGACTTTAAGTAAAGGAGACTGCCCTTGATAATACGAGTGGGCCTTATCCAATCAGTTGAAGGCTTTAAGAGTAAAAATAGGTTTCCCAGAGAAGATGTTCCACCTCAGGACTGCAGCACCCATTCCTGCCAGTTTCCAGCCTGCTGGCCTGCCCTACCATTTTGGACTTGCCTAACCCCACAACTGTATGAGCCAAGAGCCAATTCCTTAAAATAAATCTCTGTCTATTCAAGACGTATGAATATATAAAATCTCAATCTTGTGGAAGCTGGTGTTAAGGATTTGTTAGGGTGGGTCTATTTCAGTTTTGTGTTTTGGGTATGATCCTTATTCTATGACATGGTCCTTTCTCTGAAGGTGTGGAATTTCTGGAGTTTCACATGAATGGTGAGGCACTCACCAAGATATCTCTTCACTCTGCTTGGTTGGAACTCCAAAGTCTTTCAGCATTAAGAACCTCTGGTGTCTCTATTTAGATTTTATCCCCAGAGAGTATGTTCTCTGATAGGCCTGGTGGGGTTTTGTCCCGTGCATTTGCAGCCCTACTCTCCACCAAGAAGCCAGAGGGAATTCCCAATATAAACGTCTGGCACCCCTCCTGCACAGCTACCTCTTCACTGGTACCCTGCCCTGCTAATTTCGGCTGCTTCAGCATCCCCAAACTCCAGCCTCTGCTTCCTCAACCAAGCATGCCTGCCTTCCTCTGCTTGTGCCCCACCTCCATGCAGTATGATCTGGTAACTGTCCCCATGTAGAAATCCAGGTTACATGTAGGGGTCACTTCATGTGTTTCTTTTCTCTCAAAGATTACCGTCCTGCTGTCTATTGCTCAATGCCTGAAAAGAGTTGCTTTATTTATTTTGTCCTGTTGAATCATTACTTATGGTAGGAAGGCATGTCCAATACCCGTTTACTCCATCATGGCCAAAAATGGAATTTCAGCCATCCATCCATTTGTCAAACCATCCTCCAAACCAAGACCACCCCTATGCCGTCTGCTTCACTTCTCATGTGCTCAGCAAAGGGCAGAAATCACCAATGAGTTCAGAAAAATCACTGGGTGATTCTTACAACACTTGTCTTCCATGGTTCTCAGAAAACAAACAAACAAACATATCATAGTTTCTAAAAATTCAAATAGTCCTTAGTCGTCCTTTGTAAGCCAGCATTTTTCAAACTGTGTTCTGAGGAATGTTGGCTCCATAAGGAGTTAAATGGTAATCTGTGAATGAAGGATTCTCTGATCAAATACTTTGGGGGAAATGTTATGTCTGATTTTTGTTCCAGGAGAGTCACATATATATTAACACATTAAAGACTCTGACACATCCTGCTGAAAACTTTCATTAACTCAGTGTTTCCCAAACTTAATTGATTAGCGAAGCCTCCTCATGGAATATTCATTGGCATTGGAAACATGTGCTTTTTAGGGTCATGGGTTATCTGACCTCTTATCTATTTTCCCTAAGTTTGGAGAAATACTATTCAGAAGGGGAAATGAGAGCTTTTAAGTTTGACAAATCAGTTAAAATCAAGGCTGCTGGTATTGTAATCAAGCTGTACATTTTTGGTAGAGCCAGCAATTAAACAGATCATTTAAACCTCTCCAGGAAACCGTGTGTTTGAATTACACTTCCTAAATATGCAAATAAAGAGGTGTTATAGGAAAAGGGACTTTTTCCTTTAGAGCTGAATGACTTAGATCAGCATATTTATTTTGTAAAGCCCTAGAAATCTGGAAGTATAATGCTAGCCCCTAAAGTCTTACCTTCAATAGTATTTCATATTTTACTGTATTTTTAGATAATAACCCACGTATATAAATTTTATTAGTCATTTACTAACGCCCACTAAAATACTTTTGGAAACGTTTTCCAGCTCAGACACCTTTTAAAAACCAAATGACATCATGTCTGTTGGTATACATTGTTCTATACTGGAGATTGGGAATACTTCCCCACCCCTCCATCAAGCGACGGCTGAAAAGTTTATCATCATCCTCCCTAAAAGCAAGCACCTGGGAAATGTGAGTGCAATGAAAGCACAGCACTGAGGAAGTCAGCTGGATTTAGAAACCTCTCCCTGGGGGCATTGCCTGTCCCACGGTCCTGGGAACTTCGGGGGCCCAGGAAGGGCGAGGTCCTGAGTTGCCGAATTTCCCTGGTTGCTGAGAGGCTAACCACCTTCTCCGCCCTGCCGCCCTCTGCCAGCTCCACGTTCTGACTTGCAGGCAGAGGTAACGGTGATGCACAGGTATTTATTCATTCAGAGCATTTATTTATTTATTCAAAACGGATTTACTGAGTGCCAGTTATGTACCAGGCACTATTCCAGAAGTGCTGGGATGTAGTGGAGGACAAACCCAGTCCCTCCCCTCATGGAGTTTACATTCCAGTGAGTCACAGAGTGAGAAATGCCACGGGGGAAAAAATCATATTAAGGGGTCAGACAGTGGCTGGAAGAAAACTGTGCTACATAGGGTGAGTGGGAAGATTTTCTCTGAGAGGTAACATATATGCAGTGACATGAATGAGAGGACAAGACAAAGGCACACATAGGGAAAGAGTTTTCAAGGCAGAGGGAAGGGTAAGTGCAAAGGCCCTGAGGCTGAGGCTTTTGGTTGTCCTGTTGAA